GAGAGAGGGAGGGAGGGAAGGACAGAAGGAGGAAGGGAGGGAAGGAGGGAGGGAGGATGGGAGGGAGAGAGAGGAAGGAATGTAGTTGGAAGTTTTCCTGTGTCCTGCCCGGGCCCTGCAGTCAGGATGAATCTCTCCCACCCATGTCCCGTAGCCACTTGGTCCCAAATAAACACACAGAGGCTTATATTATTTTCAAACTATGTGGCCTAATGGCTCAGACTTCTCGCTAGCTAGCTCTTACATCTTAAATTAACCCATTTCTATAAGTCTATACTTTGCCACATGGCTTGTGGCTTACTGATACTTGTACATCTTACTTCTCCTGGCAGCAGCTAGCAGCATCTGCCCCGCTCTCCTCTCTTCTCTCTCTCTCTCTCTCTCTCTCTCTCTCTCTCTCTCTCTCTCTCTTGGATTTTCCCGCCTGGCTCCATTCTGCCCTGCTGTAAGCCAACGTAACTTTATTTATCAACCAATCAGAGTTGCAACACATATTCACAACATACAGAAAGATGTCCCACAACAAAGGAAGGAAGGAAGGAAAGAAGGAAGAAGAAAGGAGAAGGAAAGAAGGAAAGAAAGAGAGAGAGAGAGAGAGAGAGAAAAAGGAAGGAAGGAAGGAAGGAAGGAAGGAAGGAAGGAAGGAAGGAAGGAAGGAAGGAAGGAAGACAAGAAACACTAACCCTTGGTGGGTCCTGAACAAGCCAGTGGTACAATCACACCTCTCTGATAAGCAGGGGCCTCTCAAGGTGGATTAGGAATTAGATAGTACTGAAAAAACTCTGCCTTGTCACCGTTCAGTTGTTAGAATTTTAGGCTGCCTCTGCTCATTAGGAATGAACACTGTAATCTTTCAGAGTGAAATGACATTTGAAGTTTGGTTTAAAATACTTCAGGGAAGGAGGAGAGAGAAGGGCATGTGTTGGGGGGTAGGGAGGGCATGGCAGAAGGAGAAATAAAACAAAATTACCAAAATGTTGTTAAGAATTGACTCAGGCAATCAGTGTGGGAGATGCAAAACACTGGCTACTTATTTTGTATGTTTTAATTTTTTTTTTCACACTGGAACATTTTTTTTAGAAAAGTCAGAGGGTCTACAGTCCATTTAAGGTCTTTGTTCACATCACACCCCATAGGTACTTGCACAGTAGTTTGGGAGAATCAGCAGTCTGATCAACCGCTATTAATCAGGTCAGTCTAAGCTGCAACAGCCCAATGACCTCAGTTCTGAACTACTCTGAATTGCATTAAAAAGTGAACAAGATGTGGTGGTTTGAATAAGAATGGCCCCCATAGGCTCACAGATTTGCATGCTTGGTCACCAGGGAGTGGCACTGTGAGGAGACGTGGCCCTGCTGGAGTAGGTGTGGCTTTGTTGGAGGAAGTGTGCCACTGGAGGTGGACATTTCAATGCTTTCAATGCTCAAACCAGGCCCAGTGTGACTCTCTCTTCCTGATGCCTGTGGTTCTGGATGTAGAACTCTCAGCTACTCTCCTGTCTGCCTGCACGCTGACATGCTTCCTGCCATGATGATAATGGACTAAACCTCTGAACCTGTAAGCTAGCCCCAATTAAATGTTTCCTTTTATAAGGGTTGCTGTGGTCATGGTGTCTCTTCCCTGTGATTCAGACACAGACGACAAGAGCTCACTCCCTGTTCACTGAGCTTAAGGAACGGTGGTGACATCTCGGCAGAACCCGGGGATGTCCAGGTCTGTCACTGCATCCCAGGGGATGACGTTTTTGCCCCATCTGGTGAAAGATGTGGAGAGTGTACAGGGAAGCAGAAAGCTCTAGCTACAGAGATGATGTTACACTCTATTCTTCCTCTTTCCCCATTGGTAGAAGGCTCATCCTTGCTCCTGCATGGTCACACCTGCAGCCCAGAACCCTAGGCTCTGGGATGCACTGGATCCCATCAAATTATGAAGAATATGATACATACCACCTGTATATGACTGAAGAGCAAACCCCGCCTAGAGCTGGACCTGGTGGTGCACATCTGTAATCTCAGCACTTGGGAGGTAGAGACAGGAGGACCAGGAGTTCAATGTCATCCTCAGCTACATAGTGAGTTAAAGGCCAGCCTTGGCTATAAGGAGGCCCTATCTTAAGAAAAGAAAAATCACCTAATTTTTACCTGTGTCTCCTTCCCTGCTTCCAACAAGAGTAAGCCACTTTATAGTTATGCCATTGTGTTTCCATGTATGTGTGTATGTAGTGCTGGGAAACTGATTCCTAGGTTTCAAGTCTGCTAGGCAAGATCTCTACCACATGGCATCCCAGCTCCAATCTGTGCATCTTAGTCAACATACACCTTCTATGGTAGATGGAGGGAGGGAAAACATCCCTCTGTTGGGAAGGCCCTCCACCCCATGCATGAGTTCTTCCCTCCAGAAGAGCTGTGCCTGGGGGTAAGGGGCTGTGAGGAATGTAAGGGGCTGGAGAACAGGGAAGGTGGAAGACAATGTCTGGATGTAAATGTGTCTTAAGTTTTAAACTTAACATATATAATTTCCCCTGGGTCTTTGTTTTATAGTGTCAACGGTTTTATTTTAGGTGGCTATGCAGTCTTAATTTTATTTACTAGCTCCCCAATACAACAGATTTCTTTTTATGCCCAGGAAAACGTGTCTCTCAAGTTACCCTGTGCAGAGAAGTAAAGCTGCTGCTGGGTACAAAAGGACCCCCTGCTCCCACCCCACCCTGCAGATCCAAGCACACACAGCTCCCCGAACCCTCTGGGGAGGGCAGAGAGGCATAGCACGGAGCAACTGTTTGGAGGGTAGAACAAAAGCTCGTCCCCATGTCTTGGAGCTAACAGAAGGAAAAGGACATTTACATAAGACGAGACGCCAATAAATCGGAAAGTTCAATGTGCTTAGACGTAGACAGTGGCGGGGACAATGACAGGAATCAAACCGCGGCAGCAGATTGCATCTTTCATGTTTCATTTGCGTTTAATTCCTAAAGAAGGCAGAGGTTCAAAGGAATGGTTCACCCTCAGACTCCTCCTCCTGACAAACTTCTGCCCACCCCTCAAATGCTGAAGCCTCCGAGACACCCCTGTTGGTTACACTCGAACCGATCATTTTTCATTAGATACTTATTGATTAGAAGCAGTGTTCATCTGAGCCTCAGCCACAAAGTAGTGTTTCAATCAAGCGAAGATGGACATTTCCAGCCTGTTCCTGTGCGCTGACCCATCTGTCACCGTCTTCGTGCCCAGAGGGAACGGGAAGCTCTCCTGCCTCCTCTTCCATCTATTCATTGCTCTTTGTCATACACAAAAATATACGGGCAGCACATGAATGTGTTTTATCTGTTCGAAGCAGGAACTTTTTTTTTTGTCAGCTCAGTCAAAAGATTTAAAAAATGGATAGAATTAAATCTCTGAGTAGCCAAGAACTGTTTCATTGGGTTCAACACGAGGTTAGAACAAAGTCGAAGCAATGGGGAAATTGAAATCAGATATGTTCAAATGACTTTAGACAGTGTGTTTTTTTATTAGTAAAGGTAACAATATGCAGAGCCATCTGGAAACTGAGACCACATGTTTTTGATGGTCATGAACTTGACACCCAGCGAGACAATTAACCCTTACTGTACCGGTTTCCTTCCTGATGTCTCAGGATTGTTGTGTTGTGCGAGTGATGGATGGAAGCTGATCTCAGTCCGGGGTGAACCAGGAGAGTTAAAGAACCTGGGGCTTACTCCGGGACAAAGAGAAGGTGACGTCAGCTAGTGTTCCCATCTGTGGATGCCCTTCAGGGAAGGAACAGAGTTAAGCGCTGAGATGTAAGGATTCTTATTATAAAATCTGAGGCCTTAAGCAAGACTGCAGGCTGACCTGCTTTCTTTTCTTCTAACAGAATGCTAGTCATTCCTGAGGGTGGTTACTACTGCTTAAAAATTCTGAATATTGATCTTTACTTAGACTAGAGGTTCATTCATTCAACAAGAATGTAAGGAGCACCTACTATATTCAAGCAGTGTTATTTGAAATTAAAAAACATTATTTACTCCCATATTAGGTTTTTATTATTTTATAATTAGGCAATTTTTTAAAAAAAACTTTCCTGTAAGGGGAACAGATTTGGGTTATAATAGAAAGAATTGTGGCAAAACATGGAGCCTGAGATGGCTCAGCAAATAAAGGCACTTGCTGCTAGGCATGATAACCTGAATATGATCCTCAAGACCCTCACAGTAGAAGGAGAGAAATAACTCTGAAAGAGTTATCCTTTGACACTCTATGGCACAAGAGTGCATACACACACACATGCATACACTCCCATACACACACATACATTCCACTCCACAATACACACACACACACACACACACACACTCCCATACACACACCACACACACACATACACACACTCCCCCCCACAATGCACACACACACATACACACACACACACACACACACTAAAATAAATGTTAAAAAAAAGAGAAATGTGATTCTACTAACAAACAAGCTGCTTTGTTCTTTCAACTTTTCATCTGATATAAAATACCATTGCCCAAAAGATTATGTTATATTGTGTTCTTAATTTAAGCCCCAAATTATAGCATTTTTAAATGAAATCAGAGCCAAATCCCACTGGTATTTGAGAGTGTCAAATCATCATTTCTCCATATTTTGTATTCCAGCGTTTGTTTTTTTTTTTCTTTTTCCAACCTGTTCTGTAGACAGGTTTCCAATTTCATACCCCATCTTCAAGTGAGATTCTACAGGAAATTGCATACAAATGGGAAATACTCATTCTACTTCAGAAACAAATAACCCTCTAATTTGATAACAAATACATTGCACTTAAATGCAAAGCTCACTTTCACTTCCAAAAATCTGACCTTTATTTCCCACAAAACTCCTATGAAGAAACCCCATTCATGAATTTCATCAGTACCAGAACAAAAAAATATCTAATTGCCTCTTCTATGAAATCTGTATTTATCAATTATGGCTTTCTCGGGGAAATTCTAATTTGCAAAAATGCTCTGCATTCCAAGCTTTAACAGTTGGAGGTGGATGTCCTTAAGGATGGAGGGGAGAAAAGTTCTTTTTTAAATGGCACATTTACTAATTATAAAATGCTCTTATCTCGCTGTAGCCGGCGCCAACAGGAACATGTGCCTTGCACTCAGAAATCCCAGGATTGTCACAACTTGTGCCAGCTGTGGAGGTTACGACACCTGTGCCAGCATCGCCAGCTCTGCCCACTGTCATCTGTTCCAACTGTTCCATCTGCACTGTTTGTACCAATTCTCCCATTTCTGCATCTGTACCTTCTGCAGAACCGTTTCCAACAATGCCAGCTGTGTCATTGGTGCCAAATATGCCAGATGTTCTATTTGTCCACCCTGGGCCAAATCAATGCAGTTTTGTGCTCATTAGTTTTAGCTGGTAGATTCTATTTTACAATTTTTTGAGATGTATTTAGATTGAATCCAGGCAAATATCCCCCTTACAATGACAGCACATCTCTCTGTCCATCTTTTTTTTTTGCAACCCCAACTTTAGATCTGACAGCATGAACTTGGTTAGCGTTATCTGCATCTTGTTAAAACAACTCACCAGAACCGGTTCAATATTAATTATGGTAGAGAAGCTCCTACAATGTAAAAATTATACACCGCAAAAGGCCGTGGAACACAGCATCACATTTCCAAAGTAATTAAAAGAGAATAAACTTTGTTCCGATAAACAAATCGAGAATGCTCAGAAATCAATATGGCGAGCCGATTAGAGTAATCTGCCACATAATGTCCCATTAAGCTGCCTGTTTATTGGTCTTTTAATTGACAGGGTTATGCATGCGAATCAACAGTTATGTCATACCCTCCCATCCTCCCACTTTCTGAGTTCTGCTCTGGAGAGTATTAACCAAGGATGTGCTCGGATGGCAGGGTGAGACCTAGTAACCTTGCTACTTCCCAGTTGAGTGACACAAACTCAGGGTCTAGTCCTCCGGCTAGAGTCTAGCTTCTCTACTGTCCCAAATGTCACTTCCACTGGGACCAACACAAGCCATTCTTATTCATATGCTCTTCCAGCTTTTAAAATTGGAAGGGAAAAAAAAGGACTTTTGTGCCCACAATCTCAATATTCCACATCACCACAAACCAAACCCCAATCCTTTTCTCATCTGGGAGGTTCTTTCAAGGAGTCCCGATGCTTAATCTCTGGATTTCCTCTCAATTCTTTATTCTCCCATCATTCTTGGGGGGAAGAGAATGAGCTTGTTGACATTTAAAAACTGATGGCCTACCAGGAATGTGAAGTCCAAGGAACACGAAACTTCTCATTTGTTGACTGTAGATTATTTAACTGAACCCTTCAGATGAAGTAAGTTTCACCCACTACCTAATGCCTCAGACTGTTTGCTATGAAACTCTTGACAATGGGTAGAACGTCAGCTCACAGTCAGAACCACAGATCTGCAAACCATCTATGTACGTGATAACATACGCTCAGAATATGTCTCACCAGCTTTATTGGGTTTTCAAATTCCATACAGAAAACTCTAAGCTTGGAAGTGTATCCATCACTAGTGAACTCACCTAGTTATAACTTCCTAGACTGGGGCCTGTATACTGAGGTCCTAAAACCTACAAGACAACAGTCCCCGCATATCCCTGGTTGCGGACAACACCCTCCATTCAACATCGGCTTCCTTTATAAGGCCAGCGACTATTTCTCAGTATACTCCTCCCTTCCTCCCACCTGAGTCTGACCTGTTTTTGACCCTTTGCCTCAAAACCTTTCCCTATCCTTTTCTGAACATAGGGAGGAGACTGGGTAAATATCAATTTATTAAAAATGGTAGCTTCTTAACAAAATATGCCTAGTTCTGAGCTAGAAAGATCCAATCTGAGTCTGCTGACCCTACTTCTAGAAATGTCACCAACTTTTTTATTCTAATTTTTCTGTGTTGCAAGATGCCAGGAAGGAACATCTTAATTAGGATTAAAATAGTCTGTGACTCGTCGGGAGTGCACCCTGTACCTTCTTGGTACATTTTAATTAATACAACTTCTGCTCCCTGCTGACAAAGATGTTTCCGATGGTGTTTTGGCCCAATGTATTTGCCACCGTCATTGATGTGAGTCACTTAAATACTTGGAGGAATCCACACACTTCATGGTTTCATGTAAAACAGATTGAGCGTTAGAAATGCCAGGTGGGCATACACAGCCCAGAATACTTCCAAACATCTCTCTGGCCTTTTTAGACACAGTTTCTTAATACAAACACCCCAACACCCCAAAAGGGTTTGCACATACAGAATAGGAAAACCTCACATTTCAAGATCCCAATGGCAAAGACCTGAGTGCTTTAGAAATCTGTCATTGTTGCATTTGCTTCTCTGGAATTAGTAAGCCATCATGGAGAAGAACACTGGCCATTGTTCCCTTGTGGTTTGGGGTCAACAGAGAACCACAGGCCTTGTATGTGTCTGGAGTACTTGTCTTCCTACTGTTCCAATCTCAAAGTCCACACGTTTAAATCTGGAAGGAGAAAGGGAGATTCCATCCTTGTCCTTGCTTCATAACTGGGCACCTTGGTTTAGCATGCTGTGTCCTTCCCTACATTAGAACAGAACAGCAGTTTTATAATCAATATCCATTAAGACAACATGGAAGGGGCTGGAGAGATAGCTCAGTGGTTAAGAACACTTTTTCTTGCAGAGGACCTGGGTTTCCCAGAACCCACATGAGATCTTAAAACTCTCAGTAACTCCAGTTCCAGGGGACCCAACACCCTCTTCTGACTTCTGAGAGCACCAGGCATACATGTAGTGCACATACATATACACAGGAAGGCTACTCATACACATAAAAACAGAATAAATAAATCTTTTAAAATGATATTTAAAAAGACAGCATGAAAGGAAGCAGTGTCTCTCCCTGGGGTACCATGGCCCAGCAGTCACTATCGGTTGCTATAGTTGCCGTTTTCATTAGTTTCTCACTCATTGCTATATGGCGGTGTTTTCAGGAAATGTCGTGTCTTGATGTGCTAATGTTTCAAGACTTGTACTTGGCTTCTAAGTGACAGTCCTTGAGTCTAGGATGGATTTATCAGATGAGCTAGGTACAGCTAGAAGAGAAGTCTGCCCACATGTAGGAGCGTTTGAGGGAGCAGGACCAAGGTTGACAGAAGAGAAAGGAAGGTGAAAATAGAAAAGGAGTAAGTCATTGCAGCAACTGAGGGTGACCAACGGGAAGGCGTAGAAGTGTCTTCACCTAAATGGAACAAGATCAGACAGCATTAGGAATTAATGACTCACACATTTACGGAACCATCAAGTAGAAGGCAGCCAAGACGATTCACTCATCTAAGCATAAAACTGTGAACCCAAGAGTAAGTGACATAGCCACATCCACCCATTTAATGGATAGCAAAACCAAGTCTAAAACCAACCCGTCAGCCAGGCGTTGTGGGCCATGCTTATAATCCCAGTCCTTGGGAGGCTGAGGTAGGAAGCTACTGTGAGTTCAAGTTCAGCTAGAGCGTCACACTGAGTTCCAGGCCAGCCCGAGAAACAGTTTGAAACCCTAAAAACCAAGTTAATTGATTGAAAACAGTATCTTTGACCAGATATGGTGGTGCATGACTTTAATTCAAGTACTTGGGAGGCTGAGGCAGGAGGATCACACATTCAAGGCCAGCCTGACCATGCAGTGAGATTTTTGTCTCAGGAAACCAAACAACCAACCACTCTGTGCCTTTCTTTCCTAGTCTGCAAAAGGGGGGGGGGGGGGTGAAAACACTCCCACCTACCAAATCATAAAGCATTCAAAATGAGATCTGACAGACTGCGAACACTGCATTCACTATCATCATCATCATCATTGATGTTGTTAGGATTCCTTTCTAGAAAGCCTCTCTCTCTCTCTCTCTCTCTCTCTCTCTCTCTCTCTCTCTCTCTCTCTCTCTCTCTCTGTGTGTGTGTGTGTGTGTGTGTGTGAATTTCAGGAGGTTGTGAGCTACCATGTGGGTGCTAGAAACTGAGCCCAGGTCCTCTGCAAAAATCAATAAGTGATCTTAACCACTGAACGATCTCTCCAGTCCTGTCATTAGGATTCTTGAATGAACCATATAATCTTAACTTTCCTAGGTCATACCAACTAAATCTCACGAGTTACAACATCAATTGAAAGCTACGCTGTCATCTCGAATCTCATTTCTGTATTTTTATTTTGATGATCATATTTATGAGAAAAGAAGTTGGATGAGCCTGGAATTAAGCATTGACCCAACAACTTGCTTTCTGACCCTTACTGCGCAGTGCAGATTCAATCCATGTAGGGAATGAACTCCAAAGGACCCAAGTTAATAGAAGGGAAACAAAGACATGATTAACCCAGAACAATAAAGGACACCAACACTGTCATTTAGTTTTAAAAAGAAAGCACACCGTCCAACAACAGCAGCCTCACCTGGACTTACAAAGACATTTCCCAGGGTTGGGGATTTAGCTCAGTGGTAGAGCACTTGCCTAGCAAGCACAAGGCCCTGGGTTCAATCCTCAGCTCTGGAAAAGAAAAAAAAAAGACATTTTTTTATAAAAGTAATGTCTCATTTAATGTCTAAAGCACTGTGTGTGTGTGTGTGTGTGTGTGTGTGTGTGTGTGTGTGTGTGTGTTGCTGGGGATGCGGCCAAAGGCCTCTAGCATGCTAAGTACAGATTCTACAGCTGGGCTATGCCCTGTCTCCTGTGAAGTAACTGATGCCTCAGATTGTTTGTTTATCATCATCTGAAGCTTTAGTATTCCACCAGGATGTGAGGGCTTTAAGAAATAGAACATCTTTCTGAGTCTGGATTACTTCACTCAGGATGATTTTTTTCTAGATCCATCCATTTGCCTGCAAACCTCATGATGCCGTTTTTTGTTTTTTTTGTTTTTTTTTCTCTGCTGAGATGTATTCCATTGTGTATATGTGCCACAATTTATTTATCCATTCTTCAGTTGAAGGGCATCTAGGTTGTTTCCAGGTTTTGG